CTGCGCAACCTCTACAACGGTGAGCGCCTCCGACGCTACACTCCTTCCGCTCCCGAGCCCGACCTCTGGTATTCGTCCGCTGACCTCCAGCGACGGGACGCGAAGGCGCGTAATGAGGCGCGCTTCCGCAACCGACGCGTTTGATGCGTTATCGGACGCTTATTATCTGACTGGACTTACGAGCTTTACGGACTCTTTGCATTCCTTATGGACACTTTGTACGTTCTCATTGCTTGTAACTTTTGCAGGAGCAAAAGGACTTAACGAGGGGATGATGTGGATACATCGGTTTGCACGCATTTGCCTATTTCCTATTTCGTATGTTTAGCCGTATGTTATTTCCTGAACACTCTTCCTTAGTTATTCCACAGACATTTTCCGAAACATATGATTTCATTATGTCGATTACTTCCGCTTTAGGTCTACGTCATATTGTCTCAGTTACTGTATTTATTTAGCTGTACTTCGTCGAATATACGCCAGAATTCTCCTCTCGCGTCTAAGTCTGACCGGTTTTCAGCCCGAAGACGTGGGTGTAATCACAGTCACTTGAAGCCACGCGAGTCTTTTCGGGCCGCCTAGCGTACTACAAAGTGCTTCTTTGTTTCGCCAACGGTGAAGTCTCAAGCGCCTTCTCCGATTTCCATGTTCACAGCTCTAGCGACCTACCTGAATGCTCATACATGGACACCTCTTACTAGTACATATTACGGATCCTGATAGTGCCGCCTGACATAGTCTCCCCACCGCTCAATCACCGGCTTCACCACCACCTCCCATACATCCACCCGCCCCCCACCTTCCTTGACACACTGGAATGCGAATATTTCTCTATGCTTCTTCATACCTACCCAGCCCCGCAGTCAGTGACTACACGCATTAAATTTGCATATATGGACTTACAATCCGAGCACTCTCCGGCCAGCCTCCCGCGCGTCGTCCTCGACCGGCTGGTTCCGGGCTCCTGTGCGCCCAGCTCCGGCCATCCGGGTTTCAGGTATGCCCCCCCTTCCGCCAGGTCCTCCAACTCAAGATGCACCAGCTGCTCCAGCCGGTGGCACCACGGACTCGGTGGCCCGACCTCCAGGAGCCCGGGCAACGCGCTCTGTCGCTCATTCCCTGGTGGAAAGGGCCAGCAACCAAGCAGCTGGGGCGCCGTATTGGGGCATTGCTTGCACCATTGAGAGACGCGCTCCCATGGGTTCTTGGTCCGCCCCACCTTGACGTAGGCGTGCGTCTCGGAGCCGTGCGTCTCCGAGTCCTGCGTCTCCGAGTCGTGCTTGACCTGGTAGGCGTAGATATACCCTTCCTCGTCGGCCTGCGAGAGCGCGCGATCGAGTATATCGCGCAGAGCGACTTGGGTGTTGTGGCTCAAGTATTTTTTGACAAACTCTGTATCGACGGCGAGATAAGGTCAGATGGTGCATACGAGCCGTCCGTCGGGAGCGTACCTGAGTATTCCACTTGCTTGTGTGTCCTTGGGGAACGGAAGAATTCCTGGGATAACAGTATCTTGACGTGTTGAGTGCAAAGCACTAAATCCTTTCTCTTCCACAACGGCACAGTTACCTCACGTGAACAGCGTGCACCTGATTGTGTGTGGGAACGGCACTGAACCTGCTCGGGCTTGTCCTGGCCATCCGATTCGGACTCGGAGACGGAAGCACATAAAGGTGCCGCTTCCTGGCTCGGGAGGATAGGAAGGGACTGCCTTGCATTGCGAGCAGACGAGCGCTGGGGAGGCTGGGACTTCTCATCGCTGTCAGAGGGAGGAGAAGAATGCGTCGGAGCCTGGCCTGACGGGGATGGCAGAGACGCCCTCGCCTTACGAGCAGAAGTGCGAGGGGACGGCGCGGGCTGGGCATTCGAGCGTGAGTTGCGCCTCGCGGAGGTTCGGTGGACAGAGCTCGGCGGAGCTAAGGCGGGCGGGTGGGCGGGAGTCGAGAGACGGGGGGACCGCCTCAATGGAGTCACAGGAGCAGACTGCGTGACGGGCGGCGCATAGCTCTCGTCTTCGTCTTCGGAAGTAGGTGTATACGGCGACGAGTCAGAGTCGAGCTCGTCATCGATATCTTCGAGTGGCACGTCCTCGTGCACAGCTGAAAGGGGCGCCGCTCCTCGACCTCTTGAGGATCTCAGAGACCTTGCAGGTGGCTGTCGCTCGGCCTCGCTCCCGATGGTAAGTTGTTGCAAGTATACTGTCACCTGGCCGATCAATTCCATGGCGAGTAGGCAAACGGAATGCTTGCAGGGGAGTTACGACGAGTCCATCATTTATGCGAATCCGGGGAATTCGAAATACAAAGGAACGGTTGTGACTCGGTCGACGGTCCGAACCGTGTTCTTGCATGCCACCCGCAACCCGACGAGCTTCCGTGTCCCCGTGTCTGATGGTAAATCATGGTCGAGTTATGCCACCAAAGTGTGAAGTATGTAGGGGTGTGGGATTGCAATACCTTATGGGGACGACGCGTTGTTGACGTTTGTTGACGCGTCGAGACGCCACCGTCGTGCAACGTTCGACGTTCGAACCTCCACGACGCCGTGCCAGCCTCCAGCATCCTCCTCTTCACCCCTCCAACTCTGAGAATGCTTCAAAGACGTCTTACTTTGAGCCTGGCTGCTCTCCTCGTCATGCTGGCCGTCCACCGACTGCTGCCAACACGACCTCCCTTGTCTTCACCCGCGGCGCAGCAGACCGTCACGATCCAAGGACGCTGGAAAGACACCAGAGCCTCGCTCCACTTGCCTCCTCTGGCCGATACGTTTACCTTCCCGCCGAACTTACACAAAGCGTCGCGTCCCCGACCGCCATCCCGCATAGACCTGCGCCGCCGGGACGAAGAAGCCGAGCTGCACTTCACGGAAGACGCGCTGAGGGAGCAAAGCCTCTCGCTCGAGGAGATGGGCAACATGTTCAGGGCAGTCGTACTCGCTGAGAAGGAGAACGCTCGGACAGCACCCGCAACACGGAACCAGGCTCGCAAGAAGGGAAAGGGCTAGCTCGCTTCTAGCAAAGGACTCGGACAGGCGCCGACATACGCAGGCAGAACATGACGCGAAGAATAGCGCGGTACGCTTCGAGCACGCTCACTGTCATTGTGCATATCACAAGATCACCCATTGTATCCGTAGTCCTCCGTTCCTGTATTATCACTCGATGTGTAGCATATCCGCGCAATCTCATAACATGATAGCAACGACAGCGTGATAGCAACACTCACTCCCCCTACGCCCCGCCCACCTGGCCCTTCCTCTCTTTCTCCCCTTGCTTGCTCTTCTTCCAGCTGACGAACTCGTCTAGCATCGTCGGCCAGGCCTGCTCCATATCCCCGTGCTCAGCACCGTGCATTCAGATGAGGCCAAGATAAAGCACTCACCCCGTCGGCATCGTAATTATCCAAGTTCCGGCTGACGCTTTCGCAGAAGTCGAGCGTCTAGGGCAGACGGACATTAGGAATACAACTATGTCATCGCGAAATGCGTACCATTTGCCAGAGGTCCTTGTTAACTCCCTTGAACGTGCCCTTCTCCTGCGAACGTAGTCATATCAGCAGTCCTATCGCATGAACGATGCAAGTCCACTTACGTTGATGAATTCGAGTATGTCTGACATTATAGGGTACTTGGGAACGACCAGCACAGACCAGAACGGTACCGCCATCTGCGACATGCACCCATCAAAATCAGCCGTCAGGCAACCAAGTGCCCCGAAGCATACCTCGATGTCGATATTCCTCGACCCCCTGCTCCCAGGCGCGTTCAGCATTCCACCCGTAATTGGATCATGGCAAAACTCACTCGGTCTTCGCCAGCCCAAAGCAGAACTGGTACAGCTCCACGAACGCCTCTTTTTTGCGCAGCGCGTAATCAAAGTAGCGTTCCCTGTTATACGGCCCGTCAAGCTCGGCCATCGACACGGCCGCCTTTGCACCCTTCTTATGTACCGAGCTCGCAGGCGTGCTAAGTCGCTTGATCGGCGGCTTGTCAAGGATGAGCAGGTCTTCCAGGTCCCGGAGGGCGAGCGCAAGCACAGATAACGAAGATATCCTGTACCCCCCCTCCGTAAGACGTATACAACGATGTGATATACGAGCGCGACGCACCTAAGCTCTGTCATCCCCTTCACCCACTCCTCCCTCGTGATCTTCGCCATCTCCTTCGTGCGCAGCTGCCACGCAAGAATCAGCGGCAGCGCGCCGTCCATCGGCACCTCCGCGTCCGTGCACAACTTCTCCAGCCCCTCGGGGCCGATCACGTCCGGCTCGTCCGCATCCGCGTATTTCTCGAACAGCGCGAGCGCATCGGTAGCGCTATACGGCGGGTACGTCGGCTCCGATTTGCTGGGGGCGACGGTCGCCTTCTGAAACGTGGCTGTGTTAATGCATACGTGACGTATTCGGATCGCAAGACAGACGCACCTTCGACTTGGTGGGGAACTCTTCGTCGCTATTATGCACATTACGATTAGGAACGCAGCACAGGAAAGAGGACAGACGCATGCCCGGTGCGCGCCGGGTCAGAGCAGCGCCGACGAGTCACGACAGTCGTAGACGCTCTGGTGTATCGCGCAGCCTGAACACCCGACAGCGCGACCTTGTGCGGAGGAACAGGGGCGACAGAGGCACTGAGACGGGCAGCAGACGCGACTCACCCAGCAGCACCGTCGGCCTGCTAAACGGGAAGAAGTCAGAAACTAGTGGGAAATGCTGTGCAGGAAGCAGGAATGTGATATTCACGTCATTCGTTCTATTTTTAGAACGTGTTTTGGACGTTCAGGGTGTTGTGGCAAGTTTGAGAGATGGGTCAGGAAGGGCGGGGCATGCATGGAATTGCGCGGAGAAAGAAAGGGGACGCACTCCGGCTTGGATTTGGCTTTTGATTTCGTCGTACGGGCGGGCTTGGTGGTGCTTGCCCCCTGGCATCGTGTTCACCGTTATGTGGCATGAAGAGAAACAGGATGTAGCACTCACAGCATGTTCTCTGTAGACAGATGGATACAAGATAACAGGGTAAGTAGGCTTGTAATCGTATGCCCGAACACCAGCACATACCCCGATGCTACCTTGCTCGCTTTTGCCTTGGCAGCTTTCGTGGCTGCAGCTTTCGGGGCAGCAGGCTTGGACTTCTTCAATCGAGGAGTATCCTATACGCAAACAAAGTATGGGTCACCCAGTGCTCCGCGCCGTACTGGAGCATGCATCATGAAGACAACGGACCTCTGTAACATCCGACGCAGCGTCGGAAACGGGTTTTGGTGGCACGCCTTTGGCAGGAGCAGCCTTACTGCCAGAGGAGCTCCCCTTGGTCGTCGAGGAACGCGTGGATCTCCGTGGTGCGGGTGCTGATGAAGTATCTGCCGCGTCCGCGGTGGCCTCTGCTTCAGGTCTCTTGCGCTATTACCTCGTGAGCTCTCCGTCCACAACCAAACATAGACGCGCCTACCTTGGGTGCCATGTTTTGACCTGTGTCACAGAATGTTAAGGATGCCGGCTCCTGAGCAAAGAAGGTGGCACAAGCGTGTATGCGGTAGTGGACGTTGAGCGAAGAGGAGCGCGTTCCGCTCGACATACTTACAGTACGATCACTCGGCATTGGCCGATCCGGATTGGCGCTCCGGAAATAGCGATGCGGACTTCTTTCAATTGTTCCTGCCCTGCCTTTCCCCTCTGTGCAAGTCCTACCAGCGCTGCTCGCCCCCCCTCCCCAGTCATGCATGTGGCACTGAGGACACCCGAAATCCTGCGAGAGATATTCGTGTCGCAGCTGGCAGTTCCACTTCCAGACTTTTCAGACGGCCTGGCTCTTGATACAGGGGATCTCCAAGCCTTCCGCTCGGCCCTTGCGACCCCGCCCGGAGTGAACGATGTACGAGAAATACGTGCAAACCTTCTTATGGCAGCACTTACATGTCGAACATTTTCGGGGCCCGCCCTGGACGGCCTTTGGCGATACGTCGACTCCTTGGTACCCCTTCTTTCCTGCCTATCTACCTTCCAATTCGACAAAGAGACCTGCACCTATGTAAGGCTTACCATTGAGCACACCGCTTTGTCTCCCGCCAACTGTAATGTCTATAGAAAATAGTCTCGGACATCCCCGATGAGGACTTCGGTGGATTCTATGCCTACGCGCGTCGCATCCGCTGGCTGCGACCCTCCCGTGACAGCCCTAGCATTGACGTGTCAGTATATACCTCCCTTTGGTCCAAGATCGACGGATGTCTTCTCCCAGGTCTTCAAATATTTGATCTTTCCGCTGCGCCAGACTACCCTCGCGTCGCGCCATCATCAGTGTTATTGTCCGAGTCCTTACATACTGTTGACATCTCAGCCTATCGTCGCATGTCACCAGGCACAATCAAGAATTTGGAGTATTACTTTAGTTGCATGGTGACCGAGTCTCCCAGCGTGCAGAAACTGCGAGTCTCCGCACATTTTGCATCAGCCTGTCTTTCACATCTGTCAGGGCTGCACAACCTGCAAGTGTTGGAGTTCCAGAAAGAATTGATATACTCAGCCCAAGGGCAGGGCGATGCGACGAAGGAAGCGATGCTGGCACTTTCGGGGCTGAGAAGCCTTGTCACCCTGCGTATGGATGTTCAAGGGGAAACATTCGAAATGGAAACGCTAGCCATGCACGACCTCCCGTGCCTCGAGGTGGTCGAACTAAATGGGATACTGGATCCTATGGTGTCTATCTTACGCCACCTCCCGAAGCACCGTATCCATTCCCTCAGGTTTGACGTTCTCTGCCGGGCCGAATCCGACCCTATCCAGAATGTGGCGGTCGACCATCATTGCCTGTTCAAGCAGCTCGCGTTCCCGCAGCTACGTATCCTCAAGTTCTACTCAGAGGTGGGCGGGGGGGACGACGAGCTGCCGGTCCAGACAGGAGAGCTCCTATCGGAGGCGTTGCGCTGTCGGCATTTGGAGACGCTAGACGTGAACTTTGTCTGTGCTCAGGTAGCCACTGACGACGAAGATATCCGGAACATGGCGCTAGCATGGCCAAAAATCCAGAGGGTCAAATATGTGCAATGCGAGGAGACTATGCATCCAGCCGGCTTGCCGACGATATTCGCCCTTGAACATTTCGCTCAACATTGCCCTGACTTGACGATACTGGATGTCATTCTCAATGCGGACGTAGATTATTATCCGGCAGATATAACTCCGTACACGCACGGCCTGAAGCGATTACTCTTGAATGAGATAGAAGTATGGCTGTTGCGCCACGAGTGTTGGAGACACCTCGCCCGGTATCTGGACAGTCTATTCCCGAATCTGGAAATACTCGACGAGGATGATACAGGGGACAACTGGGCGCAGATGTTTCAGAACATCGATATCCTTCAGCAGGTTCGAAGGGACCAGGATCTGCGTTGGATGCAACGACTGCACCTGGACGCATGAAGGGCTCCGCTATGGTATCTGGTTATTCTCGCACGGGCCACGCACATCTAACGCGCCCATGATACTAGGTGTCGATACTCCTAGAAGTTCTTAGTAGAAGAGGGCACATAGAAGGCTCAGCGTGATAGATCCATCCAGCTCGCTTCCTGCCTCGGCCAGAGCGGGAATATTCGGGGTCATTTGTAGTGTATATAATGGGCTTGATTTACTTGTAGGCCACTCTGACTATTGGATATACTTACGGTTGTTTTGCTTCCGCAGAGGTCAAGTTGGTAGGTTTGAGAAATGTAACTTTCAGGCAATTATTTACGTCGCGTCGCGTAACAATCACGCCGACTCAATCACAGTCACGCCTTTCATTGCTGGCCCTATAGCTCTGGATCTCGACCACTCTTGAATTCTTGAACGCCTAGGTACACTACTTCTAACAACCGGAGCCATACACAATGCACAGAGCTTTGACTATCCCGGACATTCTACACCAGATCTCTGCGGAACACCTAGCAGCCCCACTTCCGGAGGAAACAGAATTCCGCTGTTTCTTTGATGACTCGCCTAGTCGCGGCTTGGAGTCTAGTGACCTACGGAAGAGGCGCAGTGCTCTCCGCAATGCTGCCACGGTGTGTTGAAATAATCCTAGGAAACGGAAGATGAGCGCGTTTGCCCCAGGCGGTCGGTTGCCCGAAGGGCAATCGCGTACGGCACATTGAGTAGATACAGCAACTATATACGAGTTCCGCATAATCATTCACCCACTACGGCCGCCTACGGCAGCCCCATCCTATCGCACGCGAGCTCGCAAGCTCGACCGATAACCCCAAAATTCCAACACAGTGTGCCGCATATTCCAACCATATGTACTTGATGCGCTGTGGAGATCTATGGACTTGTTTCTTCCACTCTTGGCACTTTGGCGATCCGTCCTTCGAGTTCAGACTACATATTCCGGGGCTGATTCATCACTGACTCTGGTATGTATCGACCATTCTCTTGCGGTCTCTTTGCCATGTTCCTGAGTAGATCGCAATCAGGATTTTGCCGGCGAAGTTTCTGACTCACTTTGGACTATACTTGACAACTATGCTCGTCGAATACGTTGGTTGGATTGCGAGTTATGTCCTGACGTTAGCGATGATGTCTGGCAATACCTGTGGTGGCATAGGGGTCCTAGTCTGCTCCCAAGACTGCAAAGCCTTCAACTTAATCATGGGGGCCTTTGGCATCTGGATCACTTGTCACTTTTGATCGGGCCTAGTTTGATCTTTGCAGATATTTCAACTTTCCATCGAGGATCGGCAGCAGAGACTAGGATGGCTGTACACTATCTGGGCAGAATTGCCGCGTACTCGCGAGGCCTTCGCCACCTATTTGCATCTACATATTTGAGTGCAGCATGTTTTAAGGGTATTACTATGCTTCCCAACCTGCGCAGTTTGGAACTTCAGGAAAGGTACCGTCCTTATCATCACAAGCATGTTGGGTTGCCCTCGTCATTGGCCAAGGAAACTTTGGGGGCTGTGTCTGGGATGAGAGGTCTCAGGTATCTGCGTTTTCACCTGTCCGGACGTGACCTGCTCACCGAGGGATTGGCATTTTGGGAGCTCGTAAACCTCAGTTCCATCGAGCTATGGGGTGATCTACTTCCTGTTGCTTCTGTCCTATGATTTCTGAAGCAGCAGCAAATGATTCTCTGTCAAAGTCCTTCTGGCCCCAGGTGATGATGTCCTGGCATCAGAGATTGTAGTGGCATACAATATAGTCTTCAAGAAACTCGAGTTTCCCCGGCTGCTTAGTCTTCAGCTCGAATCTTCACCGATCAACTGTGAAGGCTTGTCCATCCAAACGGCGGACTTCCTTTGCAGAGTGGCTAAATCCAGAGACCTCGAGAGACTCTCAGTACAATTCCAGCATGGTCTTGTTGTTACTGAAGATGACAATATCCGGCAGATGGCTCATGCATGGCCAAAGCTGAAATACCTAGAATATGGGTATTTTCTAGTTCGCTAAGACGTGTTTCCGAAGATCTACGTGCCTGAACACTTCGCCAAGCATTGTCCTGCACTCATTCGCCTGGATCTCATGCTTAACACAGTTGTCGAACTGCCTGCATCTCTGCCCCAATATAAGCACCAGCTGCAAAGGGTGAACTTGTGGACTGACCGGAGGTGGTGGCAGCATTATACCAGATTGCATGTTACCTCAATTCTTTATTCCCATCGCTGGTGCTGTCTGATGAAGGGGATATTCGCTCTCAAATTGTAAACCATGAGGAGCCCTGGTCATTGGGAATTGAACACATAAAGCATCTCCAGGAGCACAGCGTCCTCAGGATCATGAGGACGGGTGTCTCAAGCTCGATGCGTGGGTGTGTCAGTTTCCATCCTATTCCAGTTTTCGTACAAAATGTGTACGTACTCCTACTGTTCTAATGTTATCGTCGCAAATGGCCTGACGCGCATGCGATCCTAAAGTTAGCGAGCACTCGGCATCAGCAGCCCAATTCATTTCCGAGTAGTCATTGTCTAGTTCTCCTTCTACTCAGACAGGACCGGCTAGGCACTGCTTTCTTCGTGTCCTTCGAGACTCCAAAGGCTACTGACGGGGATTAACCTATGTGAGCTTGTTTAAATTTATTCCACCGGCAGTTAGTGGCCACTCAAGCTAAGCACAATTTGAACAGTCATAGGATCTAGAAGACCTTGTACTCCCCATCCATCATTGATTAGTGCAGAGGTCATGTATATAGCCTCATGCCGGATTGTGGATGGCATTGCTCCGGCATCGATCTACAGTTGACCCATCTCGAGTCTGCAATAGGTGTTTAGTCACATGCCTGTGGTGCCGCTGGTGCGCATCGTGTAATGGGCACGGCAGTTGCAAGGACTGCGCCTGAACACCTTGGACCGAAATGCACGGCGAATGAAGCACAGATGGACGAGAATAAACAGAAAGGTGTCAATCACTGGCGTTGGCAAGACATAGCTTACAAACTACAGCGACACGACAAACTACTCAACATTACATAAGCATGAAATGGACTTGACCATTACACATCAGAGTGAAAGCTCCCAGAGCCAGCACCTGACGGCAGTGGAGGAACCCTAATAGTTATAATTCATATGTCTAAAAAGAGCACTGGAAAGTCCAACATGCACCCGCAGCAGGTAGGCTTCAGTTGGAGTTGTGTCGACATGATACCTTGTCTTTGCAATCAATCCGCAATCCCATGATTTTGGAAGTCAGTACCTTGGATGAGTTGACGAGCCTGGATTCTGAACAGCAAGTCTCCGGACATACACAGTGATGTATACTACCTCATCCTCTTCCTGCAGATGAACACATTTATGATCGGGACACACCTGCACATGCATGTGTGAGACCACGGGTGCACTTCTCTGGCACATTATATATTCTACACCAGTAGTTAGACATCCAGGTGACGTTGATGAGCAGGCATCATCAATCTCGCTAGCTATGTCATGCTAACATGCAGTGAAGAGACAAAGAATATTTACTTTGGATCCAGTCACTGCCGTGCTGATATGCACAGACACACAACAATCACCAAGGACCAAAAGAAATAAACCTAAACCCTGTGATATGGGTGAAGGCGGTCCGAGACAACTGAGGGGTATTTAATAGTTCGAGGGGGAAAGGGGGAGTAAGATGCCATAGGGTAGTCCATAGGAAGACCTAGGAAAATAAAACAAACACTTTGACACCTGAAACAAATGCTAGTTGACACTCCGGAGTATTTATCTCCGAAAAGTCACAATCAAAGTCGCAAGCAACAACGCCTGTCGTAGGATTGTGCTCACGGGGGTAGAAATTGCTAGAGAGACTTGGTTAATTTTATTTCGCTATGTAGGATGCACCGGAGATAATTAAACCGATGGCGGAGATAAATCACTCGACGAGTCAGGCCTATTGGCAAAGCTAGGATCGGTTATAATTCGCTAAGTTCGACGCTTTTGAACTTCGAGGGTCGCTGAGATCATAACGCTGATTCTCTGAGATGGTGAAGTGAAAAACTTGTTTTTCTGTATGCTACTTTGTACAATTTATACTACAGGAATGGCTTTGCGACCATCTGGAGATAAATAACAAATAAACGCCGCTACCCACAGGATTGCTCAGCACTTGCCGCCGTTATACCATACACCATGCGACTCTCTTGCACTCCCACTTGCTTGTCCCAGCCCCTAGAGGTCGCCTCGACGCTCCGCCACCTGCCCTAAGCAGTCCCATCACTCCGCGCGATGTGCCGGTCACGTGCTAATTACCTCCGGCCGCTTGCTGACTGATGCTGGCCTCATGGTGACTTGTATGCGTCCGCACCGGAGCTAATTCATCTAGAAGTCGCATTGGTTAAGTCGCTCCGGAGCTCCTGTTCGCAGAGATAAATCTTGGAATGGGTCCATGTACGACTCGGGATGCTAGGAAGTCTGGACCTAAATAGAAAAATTCTTCTAGAGGCGTGTGAGCGCTGTGTCGAATAAGCTCTGGGGGGCTTGTACAATGTGCTGAGTCCGCATTTTTGGGGGTCAGACGATCCTGAGGCTTATCAACGGTTGTGCTACCTGTCAACAAAACAAAGTGAACACTCACCCTTCGGCACCCGCATTGAACCCCATCCCTGCCCCAACACAAATGCATCCATTTTCTGTCACCTCAACCAACTTCATAACCGATCTTCCACCATCCAAGGGTTTTGACTCAATCATGGTCATGGTAGACCACGCCCTAACGAAGGGGGTAATTTTGGTGTCATGTCACAAGATGATCAATGCAGAGAAGACTGCTCAAATTTTCCATGAGAATGTCTACAGACGATTCGGATTACCTGATACCATCATATCCAATAGAGGACCTCAATTTGCGTCAAAGGTATTCCAAGAAACATGCAAGCTGCTAGGCATCAAATCCAAGCTCAGCACCGCTTATCACCCTCAAACTGATGGCGAAACTGAGAGGGTCAACCAAGAACTGGAAACCTATCTGCGGATATTCTGCGCCAACAATCCCAACGGATGGGCTGAAGTACTCTCTGATGCGGAATTTGCTCACAATCAGTGATCCCATTCAGCCAGGAACGAATCGCCTTTCTACCTCATGATGGGTTATCATCCGCAAGCAATACCTGCAGTCACAATCAATACAGAGCTACCATCAGTAGAGGAAAGGCTTAAACGATTACAAGCTGCAAGGGAAGAAGCGATCGCCATGCACGAATTGGCGAGACAGAAGATGATCGATAGAAGCTGACAAGGATTCACCCCATTCGAAGTTGGAGAGAAGGTTTGGCTAGAAGGCAAGAACCTACGGATCAATTACCCATCCAGGAAGATTGCCCCAAA